GTATCAGCAGGAAAAAACCTGATCGGCACATCTCTACTTTATATCATCTTTAGGCCTCTAACGATAAATATGACAGTTCTTTTTCCAAGGTGGAAGAATCTGATTACACTTTGTGCTAAATATGCTAAAATATATACATATAGCAATAAAAGAAAAATTAGAGCAATGAGAATTCCCATTTTTGTTTGTCCTGTCATCCTTCACTTGTCTAAGATCAGGTGTCGGTGATAACCGGTCTAGAAAGACGACGCTCTCCCTAGTGACAATCTCCAGCTCATTCTGAGGGATCCAAAGGAATTCATATCCCAGAAGGCGTCTGCAATGTCCCTTCGACGAGTTCTGGTTCTGATTCATTCATGCAAGTCAGGATGCAGCGGAGAGCAGAGGACGAGACATGCAGATTTCCAGACGCATAATCAGTATAGCTGATTGCTTGTAATATCCCAGCAGGAAGTCGTAATCCTTTACATTTCAAGAGTCAAGTGGCCCGAATGAGGATCAAAACCATAATTAACGGACATAGGATGTAATTAAAAAAAAAAAAAACGTGAGAGAAAAGTACATTAAAACGCAGACAAATTTAAGCATATTCCACACATATTCATCGGAATATTTAACTAACATAAGAAATGGACAGTTATGCTACGGGAAATTCATTGGCACAGAATAGGGAATAAGATGATAAAGAGGTAAAGAGGCAAAGTATCTGGAAGTCAAGTTTATAATTCAATCTGCTACCTGATTTCTGAAAGAGTCGTTCTTGACCGGATCCTCTGCCGCCAGGCTGATGCTGCTGAGCAGGATGAAGAACAGGATGAGATTGGTGAAGATGTTGTGGTTGACAATCTTGTGGCACAGAACCCTGAATCTGTTGGGGGAGGAAGGAGGGAAAACAAACTGAAGCAGACGAACGAGAACAGGAGGAGAAAGAGGAGAAGAAAATGAACAAAAGGCAGAACAATGGCATCAAATTTACTTGTTGGTGTGGCTGAAGACGAAGAAGGCGCGGGCCTCGGGCATGGGAACGGCCTTCTCCTTTAGCTGAATGTCAGAGAGCGGCCGCGGCCTCGGGCCCACCGGCATCTCCGGCTCGTCCTCATCCTCATCTCCTAATGAGAGGGTCGGACGAGAGAGAAAGAAAAGGAAACGGAAAAAGAGATGAACAGAAACTAAGGTGAAACATTGGAGAGAGATGGCAATTTTATTCCTGTTGGGAAAGCTTTTTTTTTTTTTTTTTTTTTACCAAAATGTCAGAAAAAGCACAATTGTTTGACAGCTTGGTTTGCGCCATTGTTCTAGAAATAGAACGAGTTGTATTGCTGCTAAATGTCAGGGATATTTTTCTTACTGTGCACTCTACCTATGTAATCATTCACAGGATATGGGTTCTTCTCTTCATTTTCATCTCCACAGCAGTCATCCATGTTGATCTGTGAAATACAGATTTATTCATCAGCTAATTTTGCTTACTAAACTTTGTCGCTTCAGACTTTTTTTTATGTCAGTAAGTACCTTGGTTGCAGTGTTGGCTTCTCCATCAGAAGTGATGGACTTCAGCTCAATCTTCTCACTCTTCTTTTCCTCTATCGGTGGCTTCTTGTTATCCTGACGCTTCTCTGGACTGGCAAGCCTGATAAAGAAAGAATATCTTACCTTCTTTGAATGTTATTTACTCCCTGCTAAATCATAGATTTGCATTTGTTTACTGCTTAACAAAGAAGTGATGACAGGATAGTGGTGCACTGAGTTCCGGCATCCAGCAGTTCATGCCTCGCTAAGATTTGCCACATTTCTCAGGCTTAGCCTCTTTTGGGGTTTGCAAATCATTAAACATGTCTCATTTCTTGCTCTTTCTGCTTTCAGTTGCTGCATCTCTTGGTTTCTCGGTTTTCCCCATCTCACCTGGCCAGTTTTTTCCTCTCCTTCGCCTCCTCCTCTTCTTTCTGAGCCGATGTCAGACTCTCAGCATCTGCTAGATTGTCAACAGCGATGGCCAAGAAGACATTCAGTAGGATGTCTGTTCAGAGGGGTAATGTAAGGAATAAGTACCAAATAGATGAGACGGTGCAGCAGGCGAGACCGGTCACAAATCATTCCAGTACATAGCTTGTAAAAATGCCGGGATGTACACATTTCTTTTTGCACAAATGTATTCTGGGCAGAAAAGCAGCTTCTCCATTCACTTCAGTTCCACTGTGCGTACATGCGATAGCATGGCTCTCATAGTCTGCAGGCAGAAAAGGATACAGTTTCCGCAGATGAAGAGGATGATAAAGTAGATGCAGACCAGCATGCCAGGAAAAGACGGGCCTCCGTACGCCATGATGCCATCATACATAACGGAGTTCCAGTCTTCTCCTGTTAGAATCTGTGGAACAAATAATGCAGCCCGGTTTTACACGAAGAACGCATAAACCAGCAAGAGGACGAGCATATGAGACAAAATGGACACTGAAATGACCCTGAAAAAATAATAATAAAGAATAAAAAAGCAGTATTGTTACCTGGAACACAGTGAGCAGAGACTGGGGGAAGTTGTCAAAGGTGCTCCGTCTGGTGTCGTCAAAGTTGAATTTCCCCCCGAAGAGCTGCATGCCCAGCAGCGAGAAGATGATAATGAAGAGGAAGAGCAGGAGCAGCAGGGAGGCAATGGAACGAACTGAGTTGAGTAGGGAGGCCACGAGGTTGGAGAGAGAGTTCCAGTATCTACGGAAAAGAGAGCGCAGACCCAGATGACGTTTGCCTGGAAAATGTTGGGCTGAACTTGTGTAGTCAGTGCCGTGAAAGTCGTAATGACCTTGTTATTTTAAATATTCTCAACAGGCGCACGCAACGCAACACTGAGATGCCAAGAGGAGACATGATCTTTGTTTCAACTAGAATGGTCTCTAGTATTCCTCCGCACACGACGAAGCTGTCGAACCTGTTGAAGAGCGACACGAAGTATGCCTGCGAGGCGCAAAGAGAAGGGAAGACTGTTAGAATCGGGTCATAAACAAAAACATTTTCACTTTTTGTCACATTACAACAAACATCAATGTACTTATCAGGATTACACGTGGTAGACCAGAGATCTGCAGCTTGCAGCTCTTCAGGGTAAAGTTATTATTATTGAGTAAAATTGACTATGAACTGAGCAGTGGATTTAAATACCGAGGCACGTCACGATAACAAATTTTGCTTGGCAATTAATTATCCCAGAAATTATTGTGATAAATGATGAATTGTGATGTTGAGGCCGCTGTTTACTGATGGTATGAATGGCTTAACAATGCAAAGACGCACTCTCAAAGAGCAATAAACTAATTTCTAAAGAACATTTAGCGCTGACATTTTAAATATCCAAAATAAACACACAAACCAAAAACAAATAAAATGGATTATGAAGTTTCTGTAAACAAACTTGCCCTTCAAAATATATTAATCATTGGGCTCAGACATTGAGCACAGGATATATTGTCAAACTTTGTTGGAAAAAAACAAAACAAAAAAACAAAAACTGACTTACTGGGTGTCAAATATTTGCAGCATTTTTTTTTATGCTGGCTTCTCAATGAGATCAATGTTGCGATTAAGCAAGCTATTTTATGCTGGCCTTTTTGTATTATGTTTGTCGATTAATCCCTGTAGTAATTTTGGACTGTCAGTAAGACAAAGCCACCTGTTGACTGATTTTTTTCTTTTTTTTTTTTTTTTTTTTTTACAAGGTAGAAAACCTGCCTTGCATGTTTTAGGTGTAGATACATGTTTGTTGTATTGTCGTGTTTAATTGGTACTGTTTTACCAAAGGTTAAGTGATTTACCACAGATACCACTTTCATGCTAAGCTAACCATGAGCCTTGGCGATAACTGATGCGAGATTTCACTCCTCCTCATGGGCTCGACACACGGGAGCCGATGTCGCTCCCTCTGCGTTCGTTACATAAGGAATTTGCGTGATGAGCGACAATCACCTGGCTTCTGGTGAAATTCATGCACGTGAAATTTTGAGGTCGTACCAGTAGACGTGCACTTGCAGTCTAGTGACAAGACAAAACGAAAGTTGAAAACTGTTCAACTTTTGTTGCTGTCGTTTCCTGTGTGTTGGGAATCACCCTGAGTGGCGGACAACTGACGCTTTTCACTGGCCTTTTGTCACTTCCTGTATGATGAGCCCTTTACTCTGAGGAAACTAGAAAGGAAGGAGGCAGCTAAAACTCATCATCCAGTCTCTTTGCTGGAGAGATGCACGATGAAAACAAACTAGCATGTGACTTGACTAACTAACCCTTCATCACTTTCCTTTTACTTCACACCTAATAGCATAAAAATGGCATTGTGCACAATTGTGCACCCCTTTGTGATGCACTAATTCCATAATATTTTGATAAAATACACTGAAGTCAGTGGTTTTAAAGCATTGCCACCACTTACCTGTAGACCAAGACTGTACATCTTTAGGAGCATCTCACCAGTGAAGAGCGCTAGTAATACTTTATTTGCTATATCTGCAGACGGGAACAAAATTAGAAGATGAAAAGAAGCTGAAAGAATAATTTTGCGCTAAATATTTCCATTCCTATGATTTGTATATTTACGTGTCATGTATACATTGCGCGCGACGTACCTTGCACGTCTGTTAGCCACTGCGGCTGCTTGTGATGTTCAGAGGCGATGGTCAGGGTGTTGAGAAAAACCAGGAAGATGACCAGCCAGTAGAAAACCTGGGACTTGACTGCTGCTCGACACTTTCGCCTGCACAACCTGTTCCACCTGCGAGAGTAGCGACTGAGAAAGGCAGATTGAGAGGTGAGGAAAGTTTTGGAGAGGGTAGAAACAGAGGAAACATGTCGGATGGTATAGGTCAGAGGGCGAGTGAAGGAAAAAAAAAGAGAGATAGAAACAGAGAAAATGAACATGGAACCAGATGGAGGGAAATACGGTACCAATGAGGAAATAAAGAACAATCCGCAGTGAATAAAGAGAGAGAGGCAGTCAGTGGGGGAAGAAGAAGAGGAAGAAGAAGGAAAAGTTAATTGGTCAGTGCACAGAATCGGGTTGACATCAGCTCCATATCTTGTGGCTGTCTGTTGTCTTAAAGCAGAGATGTGGAACAGTGTTAGTCATCAAAGGTGTTTCATACTAGCAGCAAACTTTGAAGAGCTTTTGTAGCAGAGACGGAGAGACCATTTAAAGAAAAGAGGGAAAAGACACTTGGAGACAGACATTAAAATGAAATGTATTTTATCTACAAATGAGAACTGTACTTTTGACTAACGAAAAGAGCCGAAATGATGCAGTTAATTGTTCCTGGGTTGTCATGTGGACTCATTCCTCTTCACTTTCTTTTGCTGTCCACCGTAGAAAATGTCCTTCATTGTTTCTGATAATTGCCGGCTTCACGCCTCGCAAACAATCTACTCTACTCCGCGCACAATGGGTCGCACACGGGTCATTTTACATCTCCTCCCATGTAGGAACAATTTTCCACAGTAATTTCATAATTGTCCCGTTCTGAGTAAGTGACATGAAAACATGTGAAGGCAATATGAGGGGGATTTACTTGTTCTCATAGCGGCAGTGGTAAAGTATAAATGAAACGTTGTGTCTCTAAACTGCATTGATTTAATATTCATCTCCTCATAAATAGTCTCTGGAATGACATCTACTTGTATAGATGCTTAAACATCATAAATCCCCTCAAAAGGAAAACACTTTTTTATGAAAACACTGAATCCTGCTTTGGTCTACATACACAGGTTATTAGGCACATCTTCCTTGTGGCAGTTTGGACCCTATTCCCTGTTAGAAAATGCTCTAATTCTTTGTGCTATAGGTCCTGTCTGGATTCATAATGGTGTTGGAAAATATCCATTTTGGTCCTTATTGTCTTAATAGCACATTGCAATTTCATCCCTGAGGTCTTCTATTGGATTGGACCTTACCATGGAGGTCACTGGGAAGCTCCAATAGCTTCCAACTCAGTGTAGCGAAAGAAACCAGTTTCAAATTATTTCAGATTTGTGCATTATCTTGCTGGAAGCATCGACTAATTCTGTGGTCATAAAGGCTGTGGCATTTATACAATTCTCAGTTGTACTAAGTGACCCAAGAAAATATCTCCCAAACCATTAGAGCAGCCTGGGACTGTTGATACAAGACAGGATGGATGGAAGTGCTACTTTTGTATTTTGCATCCTTGTTTTAAATTTGTCTAAACACTGGGAAAGCATGGTCATGGTATTGTGAGAAGCACTTATATCATGCCTGCTATAAACATTAGAACTGTGCAGATGATTAAGTATTCATAACATTTAGTTTGGCATTTAGGCTTCATGAGAGAACAACATTTTTAACGGTGTAAATAACATTTTTGTATCACCGGGATGAATGCAGTACCACACGATGTATCATAAAGGTATCAGATCCGTGATTGGTTGCTGTTTTTCATAGAAGTAAGAATATAGAAGTATTCATGATCAACTAAATGTATAAACACAGGCTTTTCAGGATTTCATCTCTTTCCGTTTGCTTTCAGTTATGGCCCACACAAGACACCACTCACAACACAACACGAGCATAAACACACCCTGACTCTGTAATGGAGCTAAAACATTTAATGCCACCTCTTATGACTATTTTCTTCACTAATGGAGAGCATCGATTTAAAACCTTTGTGTTGGATATGTCGATGTACCTTACACAATGTAAGAAATTAAAATGATGGAAAACTCTCACCTTTGAATGGTGCTACATCGAGGTATTAGGGACTTAGCTTTTTATCTTGTAAAATGATGTGACTCTTTTTGTTCACAGTCTAAAATTAAATCAGACTAAACTTTTACTTTTTTTACTTCAGTTAGGATTGTTAACATTATTTCTATTTGCTAAATGAGTGAGAGAATATCTGAGGTATAGTTTATTACTATTTTAGGGCTTTGTCAGCTTCTGATAAATCCAGCTGATTTAAAACAGGAAACTTTTGGTCTGATTTAATGTCAGACACTAAGAAAAATAAAGAGTAAATACTTGACATCAACTTCAGATTAAATATCATGGAATTAGTACAGAATATTCTGTAAATGAAATACCTTTAATTTATTACTTGTCATGTTATAATTAGTGAGCGCAGAGGGAGTTTCTGTTAGTTTGATCATGTTAGTTTGAGATTTTCCTGCTTTCCTTTCGTTTTGTTCTCCTCTAAAGTAGCACGCAAGCCCAAAGACACTAACACACATCCACAGCCAATAAATAAGTACGACTTCATTAGAGGACTACGGTAAACATGTACTAACCTGAACTTGGATTTGGAGATCCTAATTCTGGAACACAGAAAACAAAATGGATTATACAAAAACACGTAGCACACAGACAGACAAAAAACACGAGACGGAGGTGATTTGAAAAGGGTAAAGGGGAATATGGCTTCCCCTGTTTTTGTAAAAAGATTTGCAGCATATATGTTTCTTGATCAACCTGCATTCGTTTTGCATATTTCACAGGTAAGAATTTTAGGCAAAACAACAAAAGATGCTGCAGATGATCAAAGAAAATATTTGCCAAATGGTCCAATTCTCACCAGTTTCAAGTAGCCATATTAGAGCCCGAGAAAATGAATTTTATTGTGAGCAAATCACTCTCTTGAACATATACATATATATATATATATATATATATACACACAGTACACAAACACAGTGGCACCCAGTCAAAAGAAAACAGTTTGATTTTCCTCTAGTCAATCCTGGTGTAAAAAAAAGCCAATATTCATTAATGCAAGGAAAGTCTGTTGATTGTTCACCACTGTAACAGGAAAAATGTACAACAGGGAGAACTGATGACAAGATATCATGGAGGACATTTTGACAGAAGAGAAGAGAGGAGAAGGAAAAAAAAAAACAATGTCCATTGCAAGTACCATAGTTCATAAAATGATTGATTCGATAACTGCCGAATCAATCTGAAATCTATTTTTTGGGGGGTTTTTCTTGAAATGTTTGTATTTGCGCTCTGGTTTGGTTGACAAAAATCAGATGAACCGATGGAGCAGCTGACTCACTGGCTGACTGAACAGCTGACGGAAACAATGAAGCGTCTTATTGACGGCCTGAAAGAACGAACAGAATGACTGACTGGCTGGATATGGGACCTGACAGTGCATACTTCCCTTCATGTGTCCGTCTCGGTGAAGAGACCAGCAGGTGCTGAAGTAGCTCGTACCCCAAGGGTCTGTCTGCTGGCAATGTGAAGAACTGACAAACACTAAAAGTCCCATTTTAAAAACAAAAAAAAAACAAAAGTGTAGGGTGGGGGGGAAAGCCTTCAGGAAACGCTCTATATCCGGGATGAAAACACCTTGATGTAAAGTTTTGGTCAATGGGAGGTCTATATTCTTTTCCAAGTGTTGCAAATAAAAAAACGAAATATATATATATATATATATATATATATAAAATTAAGATAGACTGACTGGCTGCATACTTTTGTGATTTTGTAAATCAGAAGAAGTTGTTGCAGTCTGATACGATTTCCTCCATGTGTCTCTGAGCGGCTAGCTCTCCTGAAGCAGTCATTAAAACAACACAACTATCTGTGCAAGCTGGAAATTCATAAATCTGTCATAACATTCCTGCGATCGAACTCATAAAACCAAGTTGATGACTTAATACGACGACTATTGAGTCTGAAATCTAAAATGACCCACCTTTTTTCCCCCCATTCTTTTTAGCCATTACAAAAAACAAACCAAAAAAAAAAAATCTCTTAAATTTGTAGCCAATATATCTACAGAGGTGAGGTTTTAAATGTGGAACAGGAAAGAAGAATTATTGATAAATGGGGTAGACCAAGTGGTCAGACAGATGAATGAATGGATAGATGAACATCAGAACAAATGGATTGAAAGACAGACTGACAGACGGATGGATAAATAAATGTATTGGTCAGGATAAATGACTTGATCAATAGGAAAACTGATGGACGAAGAGCTGGATAAATAGAGAAATGGATGGACAGACAGGTGAATGGGTGTGTTTTCTAAAACTTTACTTCTACGGATAAGCTGAAATCATATTATATCTTTATATGCTCTTCATATTTTAGTTTTTATGTTCAGGTTAATTCATTTTGACAGTATACGAATAAACACAAACAACACGACGAGTACATGACAACAGACAACGTACAGATAAATGACCATCATCCAAACGTGCTCTCTAACTTTGGTCCACAAATTTGTTTTGTGTCGTATAGTTTTACTCTGGAATCGCCTGCAGCCTGTTCCATTAAGTTTTGGATTTGCTTTTGCATGCTAAAGTAGAGGCTTTGCTGGAGGTCACGGCTCCTGTGAGGCCCTGCTTCAAAGGAAGAAGGCATCTCATTTGTTCTGAATAATGTAAAATCACAAGAAAAGCATCCGGGGGATAGCAAGGAGTGAGTGAGTCAGCCGTTTGTGAACTCCCACAGGGGAGGAGGAAAGCGTTTCAACGGCCAAACTCAGGTGGGGCAGAGACGGATCAGAAACACAGAGAGAGAAATGATGTCGCATAGTCATACTTGCATAAGAAAACTCAGGTAAAGATATGTTTTAATATTTAAATTTTGGCAGTGTTGTTCTAGAAATGTCAATAAAGTCAAAAGGTCATGTTCATAGACTTTGAAAAAGAAAAACAAAACAAAAAGAAAACGGCCCCTGTGGGAACAGAATGTGCGGTTATTTGTCTCTTCAGATAAATCACCTTCACCCTAATTAAAGTTTTATCTGTGTGGAGTGTATTGACGACCTTCTGGTCCTTTTACCCCAAGAGCCTTTGGTGCATGAATGCCTGCATGACACAATGAGTTATAAGGCTAAGGCTGGCTCAGTTGGATCAATGAAGGACGGAGGCAAGCCAAGCCACTTGACCATGTCTGACACAGCAGAGCTGGTGGGAAAAGACAAAAATCCTGGCAAGGCGAGGAAGTCCTCCATGGGAATGATGGTCGGGGATTGAGAGAGCTGAAGAAGAGGTGTGTGTTGTGTGTGTGTGTGTGTTTGTTTGTGTAAGAGGGTGAGGTACTCACGCCAGTCTGGTGCAGCAGGTCTCCCCCTCCACGTCTCCCCCGGGAGGGTTATCTGTGTTGACTGATTCATTTTCACTGGCTGGCATGCTCACTGAGAGAAATGGATAAAGACAAAAGGGAAGAAAAAAAAAAAAGAAAATATGAGGATGAGTCAGAAAAAAACAAAGAAAAAAGGTCTATGGCAGCATAAGTGTGCAGGGGGTTTAACGTTTACCTGGAAATAAAACGTACGTTTCAAATGCACGTTTGCGCAGTAGCTTCCAAAACGTTTATTTTATTTATTTATTTTTTTTTGCCTTTTTGAGCCACCAACTTTTCTGTATTTCATAGAAAATTTCCACAATAGACCAAACAATAGTGAATTACGGTGAAGAGGAAGAAAAAGGACACATAGTTTTAAGATAATAATGATAAAGTGTGGAATGCATAAATTTATTCCCCATTACTCGGATTCTCCTACATAAAATTTGGCGCCTTCAGAAGTCACGGACGCATTCCCTTTGGGTCAGTACTTTGCAGAACCACCTTTTGCTACAATTACAGGTGCGAGTTTTAAATAAACCGGTTTTGCATATCTGGAGATGGAAATTTTCGGCCACTTTAGTTTTTTGCTCCATCAGTTTGGACTGAGAGCCTTTGAGAGCATAAATTTTCCAGTCTTATGACAGACTCTCATAACAGATTTAAGTCTGGACTTTGTACTATTAGTCGTCCAGCTGGTCCGATCGGTAAACAATGGCCCTAGATACAAGTGTTTTATTGAGCTCTTATATGATTTTTTTTTTTCAGGACTGCCCTGCATTCCTGTCTTAAACATAAAAGAGAGAAACTTTGCAGTTTCTTTGTAGTCTAAGGAAAGAGCTTCCCTATGACATCAGATATCAGATCTCTGTTCATCCTCACCTTTGAGTCTAAATTAAAATGTCTTTTGGTAATAAGAGAGCATAGTTCAAACAACATATATTTTTTTCTGTTTTAAATAAAACGGCGTGCAAACGACGACATGCAAGGATAGAGGGATGAGTTAATATTGAGACGATGGGGAAAGACATTGAAAAATGAAACATATTCATGGGTAATAATAGAAAAATCCATTTAAAAAAAAGTACAAAATGAATGGACGACCGATAATAGTGAAGTGGGACGGGGAGACAATAATGTAAGCACTAAAAGACGTTTTAGATGACAGGAGATTGAGCGAGAAAGAAAAGGAAGAATGTGGAGACGGCTGGTTGGGAGACTGATTTGAAATGATCCATGGCTTTTTATTGCTTCTGTCAGTTCAGGCTTGCTTGGAGGGGGGGATGAGCCACATTCCTTTATTGTCACTTCAAAACTTATTGCTACACCTGTAGGTATCAGAATCAGACACTGCACACGGAGTTTGCCTGAACTCGTCACTAGCAAGTGCGTTTCTATAATTTTGTGCTTTTTTTTTTAAGTTTATTTGAGCATTTCTTTTTCTTGCGTGATTATTAATCACTATGCTACAGATAACTTCAGTAGATTTAAAAGCGAGAATTTTGATGCGCAAGTTTCGACGGCGGTGAAGCGTTCAACTGCTAATTTGTTGGGAAACCCAAACCCGTCGTTTCAATCATATCAAAACGTCATTGCGCGTCGACACACAAATCGGTGGTAAAGATTTTCACTTTTGTAAAAACCTGGTCTCTGTGAGCGTTAAAGCCTTCGCCGTTAACATGATGTAAGTTTCCACACTTCGACATGTCCCTCCTGTAGCTCCTCTACTTGGTTAAACGCACTTGTGAGCTGCAAGTTTCTCCTGAGGCTACAAAGCCTTTCAAATACTATTCAAAAGCAGCCCGGTGCCTTCCTTCCCCTCAATGGAGCTATGAACTAGTTTAATACCTATTGTTAGAGTAAACCCCAAAGACCTGGTACAAAGAGACAAGAAACGAGGAAAATGAAGACAGAGGACAGCAGTGTAAAGAATGACTGAAGAGACAGGAAAGGACATGGTGGAAACAGGGCTCACATGTTTTTTTTTTTTTTGTTTTTTTTTTGAGTGCGTAAATGGGATTAGATTCTGCTTTAGCCTGTTAATGCAAAAACTTTCAAGCTATCATGTAAGTACACAGACTTATTTGTTTTTGGAGACCCTGGGAAATTATATCCTAACTTCACAGACTGACATTCAGTCAGTCTGTGATAAGAAGATGCTTAGATAAGAAGTCTTGTCTTTCTTATCTAAGCAAAGTAAGTAAGACAAAATAACAAATATTTCTCACTAAACAGGGACCTAAGCTAATTGGTTTGCTATTTTAAGTGGGGCTGTGTGGAGTAATTATGAAAAGATTCAGTAGAATGCTATCAAGTCATTCTATTAAAAGATTAAAAGATTTTATTCCTGGATAATTGTGGCTAAAGGTGGTTTGATTGCATAAGCATGCCAAACATTTCAGATTTGTAAAAAATTCATGCTTCACTTTTCTTCCACTTCAAAAATATACACCACTTTGTGTTGGTCTATCACTTAAAATCCCAATGAAATGCATCGACTTTTCTGACTGTGAAGTGACAATATATGGAAAACCTAAGGGATTGTAGATTATTTTGCAAGGCACTGCGTGTAAAACTTGGAGTAGAAGTTGGAGAACTTTTTTTTTTTTTCTGCATAAAATTTCATATTTTAGTTTATGAGAGCCTGGAATAATGCAGGGGCTTTTAAAGAAAGGAATCTGAAACGACAAGAAGAGGATTATGTCATCACTTCAGCAAAGATGGTTTTGCATATACTAATTTATGCTTTGCATTGGCCTTGTATGATAACATTCACCTCTTATGTTTTCAGACAATCAAGCAAATTGTTTCCTTTCAGATCAAATTTTTAATGTCAAAACTGTAAAGTTGTTTCTTCTCTTTGTCTCCAATTACATTGCAATTAATTTTTTTTTTCTTTTTTTTTTTTTTTAAAAAAAAAGGGAAATTTTATGTGCACCAAAGTGTCGCAAAAGCCAATATAGAAAAGTCGCAATTTTGGGTAGAATTTCATAAAATGAGAGCGTTAGAATATTATAATGCTTGAAATAATTGTTAAATGAGCAGCAATCATTTGGATGTAGGTGTGCAAGAGGCACAAGCAAGACATTGAGAACAAACAAATTTACAGTGTCGAGAGGTTTTTACTACACACTAAGGGGTTGAAGCTCTAAAGGGGGGCAAAAGATATTCTTAAGTGGCAGGAGAGTCTTTACAGAAGTAAGGAAGGTAGAAATGAAAACAAAGGAAGATTTTAGGCGTAGAAAAAGTGCTCGGGGTTGCAGTCCGCTTGCAGTTCTAGGATCTGTAAGATCTTCAACTAATGTCGGTCCATGCAGACAAACGCACACGCCTTACGAAGGAAAGCCGCGTTTTTCTTCACGGCTCCACGCAGAGAGAGAAAATGTCGACCTTTACCTGGGGACAGATAGCACGGCTCAACAGGACAAATACAAACATGCATCCACACACACACACACACACACACACACACACACACACACACGCACATACACACACACACTTGCATATAAAGTAGAGAGCGCTTCACATCAGCTTTTCACCTCCAGACAGCATTGACAGCAGAAACCAAGTTACAAAAAAACATTTATTTAAACAATTACACCGACACCTCATTCCTTCATTTAAACCATAGTTTTACGTTGAAAAGAATTAATATGACTGCAGCACTGTCTGTTCCGCCTTTGTTGAACAATTTCATTTTTTGATCTTTATTTTATGTACCCAAACTTCTGCAGTTTTGCGCAGAGAGAAACACAGTAAAGGTCAGAAAGTAATTTGATCTGGATTTCTATATATGAAATCCAAGAAACTGACTTTAAACTTTTACTGAGAGCTACACAAGATTGTTTTTTTATTTTTTTGTTTGTTTTTGGAATGCTTCTGAGAAATATTGCATTTTTCTTTTTAATCATTTTCTCTATTGGATTCTTTTCATTGCGTAACATTTGCACGCTGGGTTCATCGTCTTCTAAATCATAACATAAGATGTAATAATTTAAAATCTCTTGTACAGTAAAATGTAAAATCTTGCAAACACTGTAAGGAACTAGACAAGAAACAGAACATGCAAAGTGATGCAATAAAAGACAGCATTCATATTTTAAACAATGGCTGTAGAATCGCTGTAGCTGATTCAATTGAGGGCGATGAGGATAAATGAAACTCAGATTCTTTATCATTTTAATAATTTGTACTACTACATCCACATACACACACACACAGAGCTTTTTAATAAAGCATTTTTCATGCTTTCAAAGAGTAATTTTACACTTGCAGTCATCTTAAATTTCTGACCACTCCCACTGGAGACAACCCCAGTACATCCTTCACTGCTCTTAGAGAATATCGGACACCTTCTCCTTCAAAGTCAATGGAAAATAGTTATTTATTGCAGATATTTCCTCAAAGTAGAGCCGGTGTTACATTTAACATGACACCAGCTTCAATAAAAAACTGTATCCAACAAGTTTTAGGAGTAGAATCCAAATGCATCCAGCGAATAATAAAGGAACAGTGTGTTACCAATAACTGGTACTTGTGATTGAGGTGGGAATGAAGGTATTTCTAAGTGAGCAGTGTCATGGTAAATGCCTTAACTCATCTACAAAAAGCAGCTGAAAGACTCAACGTTAACTTTATGACGTTCAAACCAAAGCACTAAGTTTAAGAAGCAAGAAAAATCGCAAACAAGCCAAATTTAAACGTCTTGGTGTGAAGACTGTAGAGGCCTCTATTATGCAGTTGAAGCCAAATGTTTACATACACTCTAAAAAGAAACATAACCCTATTTTCTTACTGTTTGATATCAAACCGCACTCATTATTTTCTGCTTAGGCTAAGGATTAACAAAATATTCAGCAGTGAGTGAAACAAACAAGCTTTCTGGTCTTCATGCAACAAGACGGCAAAGGTGGAGAGCATGCAAGTCGCATAGAAAGGCCCAGCATTACGCAGCGTGCTTCTGAGATGACTTAGGACACATGCTGAACTGCTGAGATGACACAATAAGATACAGTAATTGCATTAGTTCTAATTAGTTGTGCATTTCCCCCTTTTCGAATCGTTAAGTATCTTCAAAAGACGGCTGCAGAAGTAAGCCAAAGCTTGAAGACAGAAAAATGATAAGACCTGTGATAATCAGTGCTGCAGTGATTACAAAAAAGGAAAAAAAGAAAAAGAAAAGGAAAAAAGAAAAAAGAAAAACTGGAGATCATTAGCACAAAACTGAGTACCCTGGTTATTTCCAATTAGCTGAATCCAATTATAAGCCCCTGGGATGTTTTAGAGAAAATGGTGGATCAACACAAAGCCTTCAGCAAAGAGAACAAGAGAGGAATTTCTGTTTCTGACAAATGCACTCATCAGGATATGGTTTTTGGCAATTGAACTGTTTGCAGTTCTACTTGGGAACAGTCTGCTGTTCGTCTTCGACCAACACAGTTACTGTCAGGTGAGGACATTTTGAATGAGTTTTTTTTAAACCGCGTTCATCCACACGCTGCACGTCTGATTACACCTGAAACCCTTCGAATGCTTCCTCACCAATACTATAACAAACACGCTGACAATGGCAACTGACTCGTGCAAGTGTATCTGTAATAAACACAAACGCGCATTCATGCTAGGAAAGCCCTCTGCAATGTGCACAAGCTACACATTTGTTGATCTTTGTGCACGGACGGGATGGTGCAGTGCTTTGCATTAAGACCTTTGCAATGTTACAACCACATCAACATCAATGCAATAGAATATTTTTGTCATCTGTATGTATTCTGTATAGTGCTTTGCCTACATGCAAAACACTATTTGGCTAAAAAACATAATCTCCACATCACCTTATATATGTCATACCCACCATCAAAGACTTTGTGGAAAAAGGATTTTTACAATGCACTGTTGATAAATAGTCAATGGTATATGTCGTATAGACACGTGCACATATACTGTTTTTTTTTTTTTTCTTGTCATTTTGTCTGTCAATTTTTGTCATAAAGTCTCCTATCATCTTTTGGAAAAGTGTTCCTCTGACAAACTGTCCCAGGGCAGCAGAAAGAGTCCAATTCATCAACCAGGAGGAGCGTCCGTCCATCCATCCATCGTAGTGATGGAGGCAAAGTAACTGAGATATTAAGTGACTTTATTTTTCTCCTTCACAAACAGAAATATGATGGATCCTTTTGAAGTACAAGTACAAAACCTATCATTTCGTCATCTCATCGACACTTGACGGCTTGTCCGATTAAATTAACAATTCACAGTGTTGCACTGTGTCAATATTGACATCGACAACATTAGAAATTTGTCTTTTAAAAAAAACAGACGTGGTGATTTTTATGCGACATTTATGAAATTTGGCAGCATACTGATTATTTGTGACAAATGCCTCAACCTGAGGTGATTCGGTTTTGCCTGACTGATGGGCACGGACCGACAAAATGGTAACACACAGAGCTTTATTTCCTTGCAGACTGGGTCATTCCGTCTTAGACCATGTTAATTCACTGAGACTCTCAGAGAGCAGATATCATCCTTAGATTAATCAATTCGCTTTTCCACCCATAATGTCATCAGTGTTTTGTTTTTCTTCTTCTTCTTTTTCCTTTTGAAGACTGAATTACCAGCTCGGCAAAGAAGATGTGTGCAGACAATCCATGCTGTCTCTGTGTAATTAGTTTTCATTCATTTCAAGTGCATGCAAGCTGTGATTCAAGCCTCGAAAAAAAAAAAAAAAAAAAAAGACCCTTTCTCCTTTTCTCGCTGTCACTCTCACTAGCTGAATTTAAGCTTTTGATGTCAGACTTCCAGGTTAGGAGGCTCTATTTCTCTGCCTCTTGAAGCAAGGATTAGTCCTAGAGAAACGTGTGGCTGCCTCTCTCTCCAATCAAGTGGTAGATTGAAACCGGGTGCTGATTTGCGGAGTACGTTTCTATCAAAACACAAGTGCTCATCTTTTTTGAGGTGTACCCAGCTAGAACGTACACATGAATGAGTAGGTGCAGGATTGTGTTTGAGAAAGAGAGAGAGAGAGAGAGCATGCAACCACTGGCTATAAGCTGCAGCATGACGCATCCCAATGATATCTAAACAGGTTTAAAACCACAGGAGGACTTTCAAGCAAACAGTGTTTGTTTGTCACACACTCAACACTCAGGAAGTCAGTTGATTTTTCTAAACTTTGCCAAAAATACCTCTCCGGTGGAACTAGCTCTTTACAAATCCATACTTGCACGCAACCTTTCTCCGAACTTTGTACTGCACTTAAACGCAACATGCACGAAATTACACCAAGCACCCAGATGAAGGTGAAATGTTGGTCGTTGGTTGAAATGATTTATGGCAGTACTCACGGTTTCTGGGTTTGTCATCGTCCAAGCCCTCCTCTTCGTTCTCTGGGTCGATGTCTTCAGCCTGAGTGATCCAGTCTAAATAGCCCTGTGGTCGGACAAACGAATGCAGAGACGGGGAGAACAAGTCAGCGGGCGCAACAGTGGATCAGGCAATGTGCGTGAAGAGAAAGCACTGACGAGTTAGACGGTGCTTTGCAGAAGTATTTAGTGTCGTTGAACTCATTCCCATTTTCCAATGCAATTTACGATAAAGTGCAAATAAATGTTTTCATTTTTTTGTTTTGCATTTGCATGCCAGAATTTTCAGTTTTTTTTTTTTTTTTCATTTTTAATTTTCCCTCCTTCCCACCGACGTTCTGCTTTATGTTGATCATGAAAGACACTGATGACGTTTGATGGACACAGGTACTTTTACAAGATTTACAAACAGTTTGAATTTCTCTTCCTTTGAATTTGGCAGTCTTTTCCATAAAAGTGACCTTGCAAGTATTCATTCTCATACTGTGACGCCAAATAATGTTTTCATTTTATTTTTTGAGAGAGGGAAAGGACACTGGAGTGTTTAAATCAATAAGTACGACACATTTCCGCACTTTAGCTCATACGTGACTTAGATAAACACTTAGTGCTCAAACACAGCAGCCCACCTTAAGGTCCTCCTCCAGTTGCTGTTTTTCTCGTAGTTTCTGGAAGTCACCACGTGCCTTGGCCTTTTCTCTTTCCTTGGAAAACTCTCTGGGAGGGGGGAGGCAGGGCAACGGGACGGGGTTATAGGTTCAGGAGGGAAGAGAGAGGAACAAAGAAACGAAAGACAAGAAGAAGAATCTGAAAATCCAGGCTGAAGGTTTTTGGCAAATGTGAGATTACTGTGTTAACTAGTATGATGCAGCTTGCAGCATAGCGGAGGGTGTGGGACAACCTGCTGAGGGAAAGGCAATGAGTGAAGGAGAAAAGGGGTTAGTGTGCAAACGAAAATGGAAAACCTGAGCTTTTAGGCTCCCAATAGAGTCAGCTTTGAAGTGAAACCTTAAAGCAAAGAGGAACTTGGCTTTGGATATAAAAAAAAACAACAACTTCAGTGTTCCACCTCTGCTGTGATTCATCTGTACCTCCTTAGCCTTTAGATCTACTTTTACAAGCTTTGCTTTGAAATATTTCTTTGATCACTATTAGGTTTCCATCAAATCAAAGAATTTAGTTCGGGTCCGAACAGCTCAAGGCGGTTTGCTTTCCATGATACAGCGCTTACAGATTTATTTTTTTGTGCTTTTATGTCACATCCAATTTATCGGATAATCAAATAACTTTTATATTAGAGAAACAAAGCTTGCTTTAATGTAAAATATATGTTTCAAATAAGTAGCTAACTGAAAATCATCACAAAAAACAAACAAACAAACAATATATAATATGTAATTCTTTACTGTTCTCGTGAAATTGCAACTACAAAAATTTGCTTTGGTTGGGTTTAATCATGTAAAGAAAATCCAATGTAACAGCAAGTCCGTCAATGATTTGTGTTTATTTTCTGTCCTGTACAAACAGTTTTGATTGATGCACTTAGCAGGAGCCGGATCGATAAGCCAAGCACACTGGATGTAAACCGTGACAGCAACTAATGACTAATCAACAGTAAACCGCTGTCAAACGCACACAACAAACAACCAGTATTTTTATATGTATATATAAAACTATAAAATAAACAAATGTCAAATATCTTCTTCAAATTAGGTTTAAAGTTTAAACACGTCTTTCAATTATTTGTTTATTTTGCAACACAGGATGTGGGAAAACTTGAAGCCTACAGATTTCCACCATCGGCCAAATTAATCAGTCATAGCAGTAATTAAAAATAGAATTAGATATGTTTTTATTAATGGATGATTTGAGAACATGTCCAAGTGGTATGTATTCCATTCTCTCTGCATCGCCTTTAGATTCCTTGTTCTGTCTCTCTTCCTCTTTTGTGAATTCACATTAGGGTCGTTCTGCTGTTTCATGTCGCGTTATACCCCGAGTTCCACTCAATGCGTTTCTGTCTCCAAATTGCACTGTAGCTGCTCTTGTTCCTGCTTAGCAATTAGTTATAATGCCAACCTGAGACGCCAATGAGAAACCAGTTGGTAAAAGGTCAGGCTGTGTAGTGTGCTGACAGCATCATTACTCAGAGGTTTAGACAAAGTCAGGACGCCCAAACCAACCCCGAGCTGTTTGGACCAGACAGACATCTAATACTTTCTCCATAGGAGCGTCAAGTCGGATGTCATAATAAACAAAAGATAGATGGTTCTGAAAGTCATAAAGCACACATTTGTAGGATTTCATACACTCAAAAAGAATTAGATTTGTCGAAGCGCTTACTCTAGTCGTGCCAAAGTTGGGCAGTGCGGCTCACGTAATTACATGTTTCACAAAGTCCTACCAGCAATCTACAAATATGTTGATTTTTTTTATTTTATTTTATTTTTTACCACTGGGTCGCTTCCTTTATTCTATACGAGGAGGAGCGTTTTCTGTGCCAGTGGCAGCAGTGCTGAGTGCAGACCTCTTCATGATAGTAGCTCTATTTCCCAGAAACGGCAGCGAGAGACAATACCCAAAAGGTCTCTGTGGTCTTGAGGCAGAATCACAAGTGATTCTACTACAGTCAGCTAAAGTCTATCAGCAGTTTACATTGTTCTCTTGGGAAAGGTCCTGAGCCGCAGTTGTAAAGAGCTGTGATGACAAAGCTACACTGGCTTGTAAAATCATCCTCACCCCTTGTGTCCTTTCAGAGTTTTTCACTTTTACAAGCACAAACCTCTATAATAAATTGTGGAGATCTGAAGAGATATTCAACACAAGATAGTGTGTTTGGTTACTTACTGAATAAGTAACTTTTAAAACAAATAGTTGAAATTGATTTAATGTGTTTGATAATAGAGTAAAGGGGGTGAAATTATGTGATGTTTTATTTAGTCTATTACATAAAATGTGAACAAAATATGAAGAGGTTTGTGCGTATAATGGGACAAAAAAACTAAAAAAAACTAAACAAAACTTACTTTTGAAAGGCTCACATGCATTTCCCCACATTCATGTTGTGTTTATTGCAAATGTCAACACAAATAATAAGTGAGCCACTAGTCCAAAAACTAAACTCCCCGTCTTCCCCAGAAACACAGCAGCGACGGAGGGAGAAGTTGGTTTTTAAATCATCTCTTGTCCGCCCTTACCCGCTCAACACCCCCAAAACCAAGTTTAGCACAAAGAAGGAGCCGATGATGATTAAGGTCACAAAATAGACCCAGGGCCACCTGTAATCTACTGCGTCATTCACCTAGGAGATGGAGCATGGAAGAGGAAATGGTCCAGGGACAAGAAGGACAAAAAAGAAAAAAGAAAGATGACGGGATTAAGAAGGACAGACATTCATGGGAATAAAAAGGGAAGAAGAAAAAGGGAGCAAGGGAAGGAGTTAAAAAATAAAAATTATAACAGATGGAGTGGTTTTGATTTTGCGGGATTCAGAGTGAGAACATAAATAACCAACATGGATGTTAAAAAAAAAAAAAATAAGTGTTTGTGTTTAGTTAAAAGCTCGCATGAAACGCAACCTTAGTTTGAATTTGCAATATATAAAATCCGCTGTCTGTCTGAAAGCGTCTCATAAACACTATTTTTCTCAGGTTTATTCCCTGTTGAGGAAAAACATCTTTATTTAGTTAGACACATGAACAGACTGTGCAGCAAGACTCCCAAGGATTGGATGTATTTATAGCCCTCATGACAAAAACGTTAATTCTCCAAGACTCCAAGGTTGCAAAATAATTCAATTCAGGAATTAAAAAAATAAAAATAAATAAAGAATATCTTTAATCAAATTAGTTTCAGTTGCATAGTTGATTAGATTAAAAGTTTAACATTTAAATGAAATCTTTACGTAACCCTCTGATGTAATTTTATTATAATTGCTGGGAATTATTACTTGTGGGAGATTAGGAAAATCTTAAAATAAATGACTAAATTCTGTTCCAGTTTAGTGTTTCATAATTAATTCCCATGATTTCTGTCTTTAATGTCACATTTCCTCCATACTCCACTCTGGCCCCAGAAGAATTTACCCCACCCACCCCCCACCCCACCCGTCCCGTGTTTTCCCTGCAGTGCAAGACTTTTTAGCATTCCACCTCAATGAGCGACCTGAGGGGTGAATTATTTATACCCCCGTGTGTCCTCACAGGCCAGGAGGTGGTCTAAAACAGTGCGACTTGGCAAAGAAGAGTAAAAAAGCACCAAGGTGGAGCTGCATTTAGAGATGGAAAAAATGCAAACATGCAGAAACTTTGTAACCCTTCATACTATCAGATGTGCACAACACGGTGAGATTGATTTCACTAAGAAAGCAAAACAATGGAGGTCACTTATCAACGAAGAACAACAAAGCTGGTGTTTAGTCAAACTGAAAGAACAAAGCTAACCTTGGGGGGGCGTTTGTGTGTCCATGTGTACGTCACATACAGGTTATGACAGGAAGTGGCCCCAGTGCAACCATCTGACACGAACATGATAGATTGGGACCCATCTTTTTTATTTCTGCATGGCACATGTGTTATTCTGACAAGCTTGTGACTAAAGGCTAAGCAATTATTTATTGGACTGGTCATCTACCTTTTTATTTATGGTTAAACTAGTCCGAAGAGATTATTGTTGAAAGCTCAAATTGTGATTTTTTTTTAATTTACTTTTTTTTTTTTTTGCTTTTGATAAGAGGAAAAATAAAAAGTTGTGAGAAACTATACAGGACAGAATAGTTTTCTATGGAGGCATATCAGCTTTTCATCAGAGCTCGACTTTGGTGACTTGGTTCCTTTACCTCAAACTACTTTTGCAGAGTTTTTTTATATATTCACATATTCAAAACATCTCTTCCAATTTGCTAATGGGTGAACTGACCCAGAACAAGCCTCAGCAGATGGCAGGAAAGCTGAACGTTTTAGAAAAGAAGTCATTTGTGTAATTTTCAACGCAGCCTTTTATTTGTCACGCATTTTACAGAGTTTTTGAACCTCATTCAGACATGAGTCTATGCTTTGTCTATTTTTAGGTGTGATTCAGACAAAAAATATAATCCAAGCAAAAAAAAAAACTTTTCCAAAAGGTCTGTAGGCATAATCATGCAAAAATGCGAATAAGCCTTAACCGAAACTGAAAGATGACTTTGTCTCGTTTAGTTTAAATGGATTTCGTCCTGTTTTCACTTGCCATGTTCATATATTTAACAGAGTCTTGATGCATAGTCGGTTTTCCACATCTGAAGCTCAGCTCACACAATACACATACGTATACACATGACAACAGTATAAGCTCTTACCCGCTCAACACACCCAGAACGAGGTTGAGAACGAAAAATGAGCCAAAGATGACAAGAGAGACAAAATAGACCCATGGCAGCTCATAGCCCATAGCATCCTGCATCTGAAGGAGGAGAGAGGCAGAGGGGAACGGGGAACGAGGGAAAAAAAGAGAGGATTAACAGAGGGAACAGGGGGGTTAAGATTAAAAAGGCCAGAAAGAAAGTGATGGATTAGAACAAGAGGGAAATGTATATGACAGTGTTTGGGACGGATCTAAAAGAAAAATAATAGTTGAGGCAGCAAGAAGTCCAGCAAAGAATGTGTGTAAAAGTAAAAAAAAACAAACAAAAAAAACAGATGAAACGTAGAAAGAGGGGAAAAACATGCATGATAAAAAAAAGGGCTAGAAATGAACTTGTGTTTGAAGGCATAGCTAATCATATATGTGACTAAAAACAGAACCCCTCATCTCTGCTGCAGCCGCTTAACATTTAAAGGTATGTGTTTAAACAGCTGCTTCGTTACTTTTAGCCAACTGGACCTTGAAAGGCAAACCCATCTGCGACAGATGATTTGTTTCAGTACATGAATTTATGGGAAATCCTCTGCGATATATAATTTGGGACCGATCAGAGACAGAGCTGCTGTCAAAGGAATACGGGCGGCATCCAGCTGCTGAAGGGCTTTGGATGTAAACGTATTCACAAAAAAACAAAAAATTATTGAAATATTTACCTCTTTTAATTGATAAAAATGGCAGCAGTTATGTAGAATATCAAGTTCTATCGATTATAGACTTTTATTTAAGATAGGATAGGTGGATGAAGAAACAACAATGGTTGCCACATCTTCTTTCTTATACTTATTCATCCAGATAGTGCATGAGAATATAAATACACTACAAATGTATATCAGAGGTGCAGTTGGCCTTGTTTATTCTCAAACGCCCAGTGTCTTAATGTACTTGCAAGCTGCAGCTGTCAGGAAAGCAACAGAAGGGGTGTAGAGCTTGTAGGCTATCTGCTCCATGTGCATACATGTGCTCTCGTCAATGCAACTCACACACACTGCATACACACATTTTGTGTGGTACTGACATTAAAATCGATGTTTAAGTTCACAGAAAATAAGTACGTTTTGAAAAAAATAACTTTCAAAAATCAAGCTTTTTCTTTTTTATAACACGGATGACAGCCTTTCTTGTACTTTGTGTATTTTTTTTTGTGGTTATTCTCTGCCACTTCTGCTAAACAACAGACAGTCCCCTCAAAACACTTTGGTCCATTTTTCATCGACCCAAACATCACTAATATCTTTGTTGGCGGCGCAGCGTGTCTCTATGGAGACGCAGAAGAAGTAAACAGGCAGATTCAGTCTTAAAGCTTTGGCAGTGGGGACTCTGCTCCCTTTCTGCTTTTATATAAATGAAGATCGGTGTGCTGATGTTGCAGGACGGGACAGACCCAAACTGCAACGAATGATAAGTCCTTCAGAGAGAACCATCAGAGCTGATCGTCCCTCTACCCAAGACTGGTAAAGGTCTTGGGTCAAGAAAAGGGCAACTGAGTCCTCTGCAGACCCCGCACATCCAGGACACAAATTGTTTGGACATTTATATTCAGGTCAGTGCTACATTTACTCAAACCAGCCGCCACAGGCTTACACTGTCAAATTGCCCGTATTGATACCATGTACTTATGCACAATTTCAACCTTGTCCTCCTCTTCTGTCGTCTACTGTTAAATGATCAATTGCGATGTAGTATAAACCCAAGAATTATCCTCAAAAATAATTGACTAAGAAGTCTGTTGCAGAATGAATGAGGACAAGGCATCCTCCTTCATGCTGTATATTCTGTACTGTACACACTGCTTTGTCTGCACAACTGAGATATAATCTAGCTCGGTGTGTGTTTGTGATTGTGTGTGTGTTATACCTTATTCTGTAATAAATCTTTGAGTAAGTCTCTGCCTTTCTGCTACAGATATGCATTATGTTGCATATCTGTATCTTGGTTGGTCAGTTTCAATCTAGTTCTTCAACATAAATCACAGTTGTGGTAAACGGCTCACCCAGTACAACACGTCCGTCCAGCCTTCCATGGTTATGCACTGGAACACTGTCAGCATGGCAAAGGCAAAGTTGTCAAAGTTGGTGATTCCGTCATTCGGGCCTGCCCAACCCATTTGGCACTTGGTTCCGTTCTGCGTGCAGTGCCGACCGTAAGCGCCGTCAGGTGCACATGGTGCTGGTTTTTCCTCTGCATATGCTTCTGCGACAACAAGTCATGTTTTGATCGTCCACATAAAAATGCATAAATAGCTTTCCTCTGGAGAGCAAAACAAGTTTAGATTTTTATAAATTAACTGTTAAAATATTGTATCAAATTCATCAAAATGTTTGATAATATGCACTCTTAAATGTTTTTTTTGTCTTTTGATAAAAGCATGAACCAAAAATCATGACATCATTTTGCTAGCACAATTGAGTGGATCTGTACTCAACATTACTACTTATCTAAGTCAGTCACTGTATATCTGTGAAAAACGACTTTACATTTAATTACATCAACATAATGTTTTAATATCAGACAGTAAAGCATAAGTTCATACAAAATGCTGAGGAAAAAAGCTACCCAAAGTCATCTACATCCAGTGCAATTATCACTTAAACCTATTAAATGCTATCCTTTCAGCAACTACTGCTCTCAGGTTTTTGGTATACCTGACAGTGAATCTTTGTTACGTGGCCATATAGGAATGAAATGCTGAAATTCTGTTAGTTTTATTCCAGATGTAACAGGAGGCACATTTTTCAAAAAGTTCCACTTCTGTCTCATCAGTCCACACAGGACCATTAACATGTTTTGTTTCCGTCTCAGTTGGACGTCTGTGTTCTTTGGGGTCAGCGATGGGTTTTGTCTTGGAAGTCTCCAATGATTTTTTTTTTCCCATTCTTATTATAAATTAATGAACAATGTCCTTAGCTGGTGCAGCAGAAGTCCATAGTGCTTGATGTTTTTTTTTTTTTTTTTTTTTCCTTTTGAAAAAGTCCCTAGGAATTTGTTGGGTCCACAGTTCCAAATTTCTCCCATTTGTGGATAATGACACTCCCTGGGGTTCGCTGGACTTCCAAAGTCGTAAAAATGACTGAGCTTATGTATATTGGGTCATCATGTTACTGTTTGAGAATGCTCCACCTACTTAAAGTCATCAGAGTGGTAACATTTAAGTAATTTTTTGCACTTCTGGAAGTAGACATTGCTGTGTCTAATGAAACTGAACCAGAATGAAGTGTGTAGCTACAGTTATCTTATGATTTAACAACGGGCACATGTTGATTTTCATACAGGCCCAGGTTAGTTTGGACAGCTTACCTTTAATAACTGAAATCATCATTTGAAATCTATATTTTCTATTTACTAAAGCTCTGTAGAATGGAAAAAAAAAGTTAAATGTGACCAAAAAGCAAAAACAGAAGAAATCTGTAAGGAGGTAATTCTTTATCATAGCTTTGCATTTTACCATCATAAAAAATATATATATTTTAGTCTCAGGTGAACAGCTATACAATAAATCCAGGCTATGTGAAAAATAGTGTTAAACTAATTATGCAAAATAAGCCCTCCAGGGTGATGTATAGGAGAATAGTGTATCACCACTTAACCCATGCAAAGCTAATGCCTCTCCAGGGGCCGATAACAACACTCGAGTCCATTTCCATCCAACAACCTGTGCTAAAAGTTGCTTCAATCATTTATGACGGCTCCTGTTTCGATAATTGTTCAAATCATTCATAAAATAAATGATGTTGTGAATTATTAATTGAATGCACTCTTTTTCTCTCTGCCACGTATTTCTGATGGATGGACTTTTTGCTACAGATTGGAGTTAATGCACAGTCAGCCTTTTAATGGCACTGTAAGAGCAGGGCTGTGCGTTATTTATCTGCCTGTTTGGTGGTTTCCTTTGTGCATGTGGCTACCTGGATTGCTGTATTTGCAGGTCTTGTGCATCTTGCCCATGAAGAGCTCCAGGCCGATGATGGCATAGATGATGATGACGAAGAGGACCAGGAGGGCGATGTGGAGCAGAGGAACCATGGCTTTGATTATGGAGTTCAACACGACTTGTAAACCTGCGGCACAAACAACTCTAATGTAAGTCACTATGACTGGTGTAATGGATAAAGCCAACTTAGAACGGGGCTCCAGTGAAGTCTTTTGAAAAATTGTAGACTGTTAAATCTGGGTTGGTGCCGGAAAACCAACCGGTTTAACTTGGCTCTCTCTGCTTGTTCTGATACATCCAGCCACTATTATGCCAGGAACTTTTTGACATCTATTCAAAGCGTGACTTCTCTCTTAAATTTGCTAAGGAATATTTAGTCAAATATCAGTGGCAATGTCATGTATAAATCTGAGCATTTCTGTGTAATTCTGTGTCAAATTAATGATAGAAGCTTTGTTCTAGTTTTTAGAAATACTTTATGTTCATTATGAAAACTTCCTTGCTTGATTACAAAACCAGAATTATATGAAGCTAATGTCTTGCAAAACTGCCATCAGTGATCCAGAACATTTTAATAGGTTTTGGAGCTTGTTGCTTTATTCACAGTTTATCAAAGATATAAAACTTCACATCTGATCCCCTGACCACAACGTTTTGTACTTACTGGGTACTCCAGAGACCAGTCTGAGCGGTCTTAGTACTCTGAATGCCCGCAGAGCCTTGACATCGAAGCCTGCCGCCTTCCCGCCAATCGGAGTGGCCCCGTCTCCCTTTGTGGCCTGTTCCAAAATCGCACTGAATAACCTGTGGGACAGCGCAGGAACTTCAGTAAATACGTTAAATGCAACCACAAGATATCAGTAGATGATGGTGAAAGGAATAGTTGAAGAAGATCCTCGTTTCTTATAGTTATGGCGTTGTTTAGCGTTATATTTAACACTAATTTGTGTTAGCGTTTAAAAGCAAACATGTTTACTGATGTAAAAAAGAAAATTGGTAATTGGTACACATTCATATCTTTGTAGACGTCTTTAATATGCTGCTGTATTTTCTGTATTCTTACTCATACGCTGATGAGCAGATCGGAGGGCTGCGTGCCTTGGTGTCTTACCCACCATGCCACACTCCAGGGTGTGGAATTAAACTTTTTATCCTCTAACGCCCTGCAGCTGTGCTAAAACCTCCCCTGTTGAAAGAAATTTGGAGAGATCGCAATGGAGGAAATACAACCTGCTCAATTAGCTGGTGTTTCGTCACAACAATAGAAGATGCTCCATCTGTCCTCTCTCTGTTTTCCAAAGATAAGAAAATGTGACACTTCTGGCATAAAATATTTAACAATCAGCTCAAAAAATATATATAATAATAATGGGCACGTCTTTAGGATTTGCTTGGATGTGTGTGTTTGTGTAAACTAACAAACATGTCAGAAAATACACTCATCTTTGAAAAGTGCTATATAAATAAAATTTGCTTAAAACTTAGAGTTTTTTTTTTCTAAAATATTCCTAAAGTATCTAATTTAAATGTCAGGATCTTGTCAATTCACTACCATTTATCCATTGATAGTTTCTGTTGCCCGTGTGCTCTGAAAGTTTCCCCAAAAAAAGCAAATTTACTGTTTTTGCTTCTGTCACATTTAAATGTTTTATGATCATCCAACAGTTTTTGCCATCAAACATGTGAAAGTACAAAAAAAAAAAAGTTTAATAAATGAAATAATTTTCAAATGGAAAAATCAACACAGTAATTGCTTTTTCCTTGTTGCTCTTTAGGTCTTCACACATCGGTGCATAAATTGCAACATTGACAAAACAAAACAAAAAGAAAACTGCTATCTCATTTTTAAGCGAAAGCTGTTGCCCTTCATGTGCCATTGCCTTCAGTTAGCCGTTATCCCTGTTGTTGTTGTTGTTGTTGTTTAGAGATGTCTCTTTGGGCTAAGTGGCTGACACGCTTGAATTAATGTACATCCAGCTGAGCGCAACGTTCTTCCCTCCACCCTCTTTTTTTTTTTTCTCTCTCCATGATTCTTCTGCTGAGAGTCTCTAGAAAACACTAGCTAGCTAAGCTCAAAGGCCAGTCAGTGGTGTGTTAGTCATGGGGAATTATCAATTAGCAGAGATGAAATGGCCACTTGAAAGGGCCTCTCAAAACATGTCGCCCTCTCTGCCTCTCTCTCTCTCTCTCTTTCAGCCTCTCCATTTGATTAACTCTTTGTCTAGGTGGGAAGCACGCCTTTTTCATTCAGTCTGACAAGCACGTCGAGGATTAACGAGTTAGCAACACCGGCGTTTCGTTTATTATTAATTAGAACGTTTGTGTAGAAGCGCGCAAGGGTCTGTGTACATCCACAACCAAACACTCGATCGGCCGTTTCCATTCATGGTGTTGTCGTCATTAAAGTTTCAGTGCTAAATAAATTGAGAACGGCGCCAAACACTTTAATCAAAGCACAATCCAGATTTTCCACAAAATAAAAAAGAACTTTGCACCTGCTCAAGCAGTGTTACAGTTTACCTGCCAGTCATTGCATTTGTCTGACAGTTCAGCTTATTTAAGTTAAAGCTTTACTCAAGAAAAACAACAAAGGAGAGAAGAAAAATATGGCTGCATATGAAAAGCATTTCCTGAAGAAAAAGCTACCTGTTCATTTACACGCACATGCACTGAACCTTCATTAATAGCCTTTTAGGTATGTGTCAGCAACAGCGTGGCCTGTAGCAACTGTGTGTGTGTATGCGTGTGTGTGTTCACGTGTGTCAGCGGGCGCACGAGTCCCGAGGCTGCTCAGCACCAGGTACAAGCTCTTTCACCCATATGGTGAGTATTCCAGAGGGAGTGAACTCTTGTCGCTTCTCATCTATACACACACACACACACATACACACACACACACGCCCTCACATGCATGAAGATGAGCGCTCAGCCATGCACATAAAGAGAGGCAGTCCTGTCACAGCTGAATATTTCTACTATAAGCATGTCTGTGTTTCACAGCGTTTCGGTTGAAGTTTTTCCTTTTAGAACATCCGGCACACTCGATCACCAAAACAAAAAAAAGGACAACCCCTTTAAATATTGAATTATTAATTAAAAAAATTTACATGTTCATTGGGTTTTTTTTTTTTTTTTTTTTTTTCATTTTTGGAAAAAAAAAGGGTTTAATTATAAAAAAATTTTGGTTTCTTGTTTTAAAA